CAGGTATGAACTAAATCATATTCCTGAGGAATATACAGTAGAGGTGACAAATAGATTTAAGGAATTAGATCTGATAGAGTGCCTGAAGAACTATGGACGGAGGTTCACAACATTGTACAAGAGGTAGCAACTAAAACCATCCCAAAGAAAAAGAAATGCAAGAAAGCAAAATGGCTGTCTGAGGAAGCTTTGCAAATAGCTGAGGAAAGAAGGGAAGCGAAAGGCAAAGGAGAAAGAGAAAGATACAGCCAGTTGAATGCAGAACTCCAGAGAATAGCTAGAAGAGATAAGAATACCTTCTTAAATGAACAGTGCAAAGAAATAGGAAAAAACAACAGAATAGGTAGGACCAGAGATGTCTTCAAGAAAATTGGAGATATGAAGGGAACATTTCATGCAAAGATGGGCATAATAAAGGATCAAAATGACAGGGACTTAACAGAGGCAGAAGAGATCAAGAAGAGGTGGCAAACTACACAAAAGAACTATACAAGATAACCACGATGGTCACTGACCTCAAGCCAGACATCCTAAAATGTGAAGTGAAATAGGCCTTAGGAAATCTAAGCAACAACAAAGCTAGTGGAGGTGACAGCATTCCAGCTGAGCTATTCAAAATCTTAAAAGACAATGCAGTAAAAGTGCTACACTCAATTTGCCAGCAAATTTAGAAAACTCAACAGTGGCCACAGGATTGGAAAAGGTCAGTTTACATTCCAATTCCAAAGAAAGACAATGCCAAAGAATGTTCTTTTTTTTAATTTTTATTTATTCCCTTTTCACTATACAACAAAAATAAAAATAAAAATACATTTTTTTCCTTAACAGTACTGTGTTATACATCTCATATATATTATTTACAATTATTTACATTAGTAAACATGTCTTTCTGTTTATCTGTTCTAGCCAATCATAACATTTGTTCCATATTTCATAGAATTCTATTGCCTCCTTGTCTTTCATTTCTAGCGTAAATTTGTTCATTTTTGTGCATTCTAGAATTTTATGTCAATTTTTTGCCAGCAATTTTGGAAAACTCAACAATGGCCACAGGATTGGAAAAGGTCAGTTTACATTCCAATTCCAAAGAAAGGCAATGCCAAAGAATGTTCAAACTATCGCACTATTGCACTCATTTCACATGCTAGTAAAGTTATACTTAAAATCCTACAAGCTAGACTCCAGTAGTATGTGGACCGAGAACTACCAGAAGTACAGGCAGGATTTCGAAGAGGCAGAGGAACTAGAGATCAAATTGCCAACATATGCTGGATCATGGAGAAATCTAGGTAGTTCCAGAAAACATCTACTTCTGCTTCATTAGTTATGCTAAAGCCTTTGATTGTGTGGATCACAACAAATTGTGGCAAGTTGTTAAAGAGATGGGAGTACCAGACCATCTTATTTGTCTCTTGACAAACCTATATGTGGGTCAAGAAGCAACAGTGAAAACTGGACACAGAACCACTGATTGGTTCAAAATTGGGAAAGGAGTCTGGCAAGGCTGTATTCTGTCGCCCTGCCTATTTAACTTATATGCAGAGCACATCATGAGAAAGACAAGGCTAGATGAAACAAAAGTTGGAATTAAGATTGCCGGGAGAAATATCAACAACCTAAGATATGCAGATGATACCACTCTAATGGCAGAAAGTGAAGAGGAACTAAAGAGCCTCTTGATGCGGATGAAGAAGGAGAGTGCAAAAGTTGGCTTGAAACTCAACATTAAGAAAACCAAAATCATGGCATCCGGCCCTCTCAATTCCTGGCAAATAGTTGGGGAAGAAATGGAGGGAGTGACAGATTTTATTTTCCTGGGCTCCAAGATCACCTCAGATGGGGACTGCAGCCAAGAAATTAAAAGACGCTTGCTCCTGGGGGGGAAAGCTATGGCAAATCTAGACAGCATACTAAAAAGCAGAGACATCACCCTGCCAACAAAAGTGCGCATAGTCAAGGCCATAGTTTTCCCAGTTGCAATGTATGGATGTGAAATTTGGATCATAAGAAAGGCTGAGTGACAAAGAATTGAGGCCTTTGAACTATGGTGCTGGAGAAGACTCCTGTGAGTCCCTTGGACTGCAAGGCGTTCAGACCAATCAGCCCTAGAAGAGATCAACCCCGACTGCTCTTTAGAAGGCCTGAAATTGAAACTCAAATACTGTGGCCACCTAATGAGAAGGAAGGACTCACTGGAGAAGGGCCTAATGCTGGGAAAGATTGAGGGCAATAGAAGAAGGGGATAACAGAGAATGAGGTGGCTGGATGGAGTCACTGAACCAATAGTCATGAACTTAAATGGACTCCAGAAGATGGTAGGGGACAGGAAGACCTGGAGGAACATTGTCCATGGGGTCGCGATGGGTCGGACACGACTTCGCAATTAACAACAACAATCCCGTTTAGATAATTCCTTAGACTCAGAGCTGAGAATATTCAATAGAGCTATTTCTCTGTAAATTTGCAGGTTAACTGTGGTGTTGTTTGTCTGAACAGATCATGTAAATCAAGTAACATTACAATAATAACATCTTCAAAACATCGAGTAAAGCATTTAAAAAGTATGTATCTAACCGATGTGCTGATTGAAATAATTGGTATTCTGAGGAGTAAAAAACTTCTTAAAGTGCTCATATTCCTAGGTTAATTTTGTTGAAATTTTGGTAATATACTTTTGCAGGAAAAATTTTTTTGATTTTCTCAACCTTATTCATAACATTCATAATATTTGCTATGGTTATCATCTCCATTTATCACTCCCACTTTCATTATTATTATTATTATGGATCATCGCACAGTCAGCCAGATGTTCAGACTGGATTTGGCATTTTGTCTACCTATCGAGTCCTTACCCAGGACCTGGGATAGGCAGATGTGGATGTTTGATGGTATTACAGATATCGTTGCAGGATGGAAGCAGTTCCTAGTAAGGCCGCCTTTTGCAATTGACTAATAGCGAATTTGTCAATGCCAATGGTGTTCAAGTGGTGCTCCAGTTGTTTTGGGATTGCACCCAAGGAGCCTATTACTATTGGTACTACCCTTGCTTGCTTTTGCCACAGCCTTTCTATTTCTATTTGTAGGTCTTTGTATTTTGTTATCTTCTCCAGTTCTTTCTCATCTATTTTGCTGTCTCCAGGCACTGTTGTTGTTGTTGTTGTTGTTGTTATGGATCATCGCACAGTCAGCCAGATGTTCAGACTGGATTTGGCATTTTGTCTACCTATCGAGTCCTTACCCAGGACCTGGGATAGGCAGATGTGGATGTTTGATGGTATTACAGATATCGTTTTTGTTGTTGTTGTTGTTATTATTATTATTATTATTTCTGCTAAGTAAGTTTTTGATCTAATTGGTATCTGAATGGAGTTTTATATGTTAGCTTGTTACATCATGAAATATAACTATAAATAATTTTTTACTATTATTCGGCATTTGGCTTTGTGTTACAATTCTAGGGGTGGCCTAACTTTTGTGCCCACTTGGAAGAAAATGTATACTACATCATCTATAACCTAATTCTGAGAAAAAAATTAACTGCTAATTAGGTACCTTAGATATCTAAAGTAGTAATTTTGCAACTTATTTCAATATGCTAATAAGCAAGGCTTCTGTTTCTAGTGCAGTGTGTACATAGTTCAAGCAAAGCTGCTGAGGCAAATTGTCCTCTTGGGAATATCACGCTATATTTCAATTTTGAACAGGTTCCTTCCCTTTCTCTCCCCAAATAATATTGATGTATTTTCTCTCTTGAGTCTAACTTAGATCTGTTTTCTTGTAGTTTCACACATAAATGTAAATATTTCGTTTCATGACTCCTATGAAAATATCATGATCTATTACTGATGACTTTCACTGATAAAATTTAGAACATAATAGAACAGAAAATGCATTAGCAAACCCATGTTTATATAGGAGCAAGGGATTAATGCTGAACATGGTCCCCAAATTTTCCTCTTTTATTATTTTAATGGAATTGATGTTTTTATTTTGTTCACTTCCAGAGTTCCACTGACAGTCCTATAAATTTCATAAATATTTAAACTCCATCCAGAGATTTTTTTTTATTTTAACTTCCCTCACCCCATTTTTCTTATGTAGGTAGTCAGGTGCTAGGCAAATCCAAACTGTAGTAAATTCACAGTAACCATTCATTTGCTCTTTGAGGTTAGAACAAATTTCTGATAGATAGTGGAAAAGATAGTTATAAATAAATGGTTTATAGATCAAAGCTAAACATTCTTAAATTGTGATGGAAACATACAGGGATGTAATATAAAAAGACAAGAAATATTTAATATTGCACAAGCTGTATAAGCACTTGAAATGTGGATTTACAGGTGGCTGTTACGTATAAGCTGGATTGACAAGATCAGAAATGAGGAGGTGATAAACCGCCTGGGAAAGCCAAGGAAAATCATCAAAACAATTAAAAAATGAAAGTTAGAATATTTTGGACATGTGATGCGACACCCAGAAAAATACGGCATACTCCATTTAATCCTCCAAGGAAAGATTGAAGGCAAACGAGGTCCAGGCAGAAGAAGAACATCATGGGTTCAAAATCTAAGGGACTGGTTTGGACAAAACTCAGCACTTTTTCATGCGGCTGCTGATAAAAACAGGATCACCAACATGATCGCCAACGTCCAATAATGGATATGGAAGAAGAAGAAGCTGTATAAGCAAGGAAGGAAGCAAAAATAGATGAATCCAAGATTCCTCCTTAACCTGCACTTTTTTTGTTAAATTTCTACTTCAATCTTGTCCCTAAATTGTTCTGTCTGCCTTGCTTTTATGTCATTTTTTTACCTTCAGCATCACCACAGATAGCAGCTTTCTGTGAGAAATAATCAATATGCATTGCTAGTTGTTGATCATTCTCTTAAAGTATTAATTTTATAATGAATATGTTTATAAGAATTGAGTTACTTTTCATAAATATTTAATTCTTATTAAAGCTAAACACTGTCAATTTTTTATTCATGTTTAATTTGCAGTGCTGGCCCAAAAGGTGATAATATCTATGAATGGAGATCAACAATTTTAGGACCTCCAGGTTCAGTGTACGAGGGTGGCGTTTTCTTCCTGGACATCACATTTACACCAGAATATCCCTTCAAGCCTCCAAAGGTAATAAATGCACCACATGGTCTATGTAGCTTCTAATGCATAACTGTATGCATCAACATTTCATATACTACTCAGTATAATTTAATTTCCCTTATTATTTAATATTTTTCCATTCTGCAAATGTAGCTCTTTACCTAATGGGTAAGCACTGAAGGGATGACTGAAGCATATACTATAATAATTGTGCAATGAATTGTTCTTGCAGAAATCTCTGTCTGGAGTAGTTAAGGATAGCTATTAAGATCATCATAGAATCATAAGTTGAAAGGGATTGTGGAAGTCTTCTGCTGCAGTCTTCCGCCCAGAGTGTTGTTGTTGTTAATTGCGAAGTCGTGTCCGACCCATCGCGACCCCATGGACAACGTTCCTCCAGGTCTTCCTGTCCTCTACCAACTTCTGGAGTCCATTCAAATTCACACCTACTGCTTCAGTGACTCCATCCAGCCATCTCATTCTCTGTCGTCCCATTCTTCTCTTGCCTCAATCTTTCCCAGCATTAGGCTCTTCTCCAGTGAATCCTTCCTTCTCATTAGGTGGCCAAAGTACTTGAGTTTCAACTTCAGGATGTGGCCTTCTAAAGAGCAGTCGGGGTTGATCTCTTCTAGGACTGAACGGTTTGAACGCCTTGAAGTCCAAGGGACTCGCAGGAGTCTTCTCCAGCACCATAGTTCAAAGGCCTCAATTCTTTTGTGCTCAGCCTTTCTTATGGTCCAACTTTCACAGCCATACATTGCAACTGGGAAAACCATGGCCTGGACTATACGCACTTTTGTTGGCAGGGTGATGTCTCTGCTTTTTAGTATGCTGTCTAGATTTGCCATAGCTTTCCTCCCCAGGAGCAAGCGTCTTTTAATTTCTTGGCTGCAGTCCCCATCTGAGGTGATCTTTTGAGCCCAGAAAAATAAAATCTGTCACTACCTCCATTTCTTCCCCATCTATTTGCCAGGAATTGAGAGGGCCGGATGCCATGATTTTGGTTTTCTTAATGTTGAGTTTCAAGCCAACTTTTGCACTCTCTTTCTTCACCCGCATCAAGAGGCTCTTTAGTTCCTCTTCACTTTCTGCCATTAGAGTGGTATCATCTGCATATCTTAGGTTGTTGATATTTCTCCCGGCAATCTTAATTCCAACTTTTGATTCATCTAGCCCTGCCTTTCTCATGATGTGCTCTGCATATAAGTTAAATAGGCAGGGCGACAGTATACAGCCTTGCCGGACTCCTTTTCCACTTTTGAACCAATCAGTGGTTCCGTGTTCGGTTCTCACTGTTGCTTCTTGACCCGCATATAGGTTTCTCAAGAGACAAATGAGATGGTCTGGTACTCCCATCTCTTTAAGAACTTGCCACAATTTGTTGTGATCCACACAATCAAAGGCTTTTGCATAGTCAATGAAGCCCAGAGTAGGAATCCTTATAAGATGCCAGACAAAGGACTGTTCAGCCTTTGTTTGAAAACCTTCAATAGAGCACCCAGCATCCAGGAGGTAGACTGTCCCTTTGCTTAATCGCTGTCATACCCAGGAAATCCATCTGTATTTTGAACTGGAATTCTGAATAGATATAATAGATTGGGTAGCCAGTTGTTATCGATATAAATGTTTCTGTTGATTGTACTTGTGATAGTTCAGTATTGCTGTAGTTTAAATCATAGATTTATAAAACAATTTACTGTAAGGTTTTTTTCAATAAAAGCATAACTTTGTGGTTTTTACATAAATTATTTTTGTAAGTATTGTCAAAATCATGAGTTTTGTTGGCTTTCAGATTGCAACCATCCATGGGTTTAATTTTTTAAAAACATTTATACATTGGCTTTTCATCTCTTAAGTCAGAGGTAGGCAACCTTGGCTCTTTTATGACTCATGGACTTCAACTCCCAGAATTCTTGAGCCAGCATGACTCAGCTTGGAAACCTCTCCCTTTCCCCTCAGCATGACTGGCTCAGGAATTCTGGGAGTTGAAGTTCACGAGTCATAAAAGAGCCAAGTTGCCTACCCTCCTGTCTTAGGATCTACAAGGGAGTTTATAAAAAAAACAGAAAATTAAATCACGTAAAACAGTGGTTCTCAACCTGTGGGTCAGGACCCCATTTGGGGTCGAACGACCATTTCACGGGGGTCGCCAAACAACGCAGTCCACTATTTTTTTCCCCCTTTTCCTTAGCTGTGCTACTCCCTTTTATTCTATTGGCTTTTGAAAGCCAATAGAATGGACTCTCTTGAATAGAGTCTAATTCTATTGGCTTTCAAAAGCCAATAGGAATTGTCCAGGCTGTCTCTGCCCTGCTGAGCCCGCCAAAAGTCCCATTCTGCAAACGGTACTGCACCAGTTGAGTAGTCCTCAACTTACGACCGGTTGAGTAGTCCTCGACTTACGACCGGTTGGGGGTCGCAGCATTAAAAAGGTTGAGAACCACTGACGTAAAAGCATAATAGATTACCTAAGAATCAGCAATAATATCCTACCCAATAATCTAGACAGTAAAAAGGATAGCAAACGTTACCTAATTTATTAGTTTTACTTTCTGAATCTTATTAATGAAATAATTAATTAAGCATATGTTCCTAAAAAGGAGCTTCACAATGAGATGCTAGCATCTTATCTAAATAAGCAGCAGATTCTTTTGTATGGGAGAATGCCCATGTCCTGATACCCATGAAATTGAAAAGATTATAATGTATCGAAATGGAGCATCTGTCATTGATTATTATTATTATTACCATTTAGTTATTACATCACTCAGTCAATCAAATCTATTAGTCATAGACCAGCATAGAGTGGCCTTCCCTAAAACCAACTTGCTTCTCTGCAAGTATGTTGTCTTGTTCCAGCCAGTTCTGGAATTTCCATTGTAGATGTTTTTATAGAGTTTGATAATTGTATTGAGGGGACTGAAACCTATTACATCAGAATTTTTGGAGAGCACAACATTATTTGAGATACTAAGGATATCAGGTAATACAAAAGTTATTCTTTTCCTGGGCTAGAAAGACCATTGTATTTGTACCAAATACCTGGTTTTTCTTCTATTCCTATCTTATAGAAATACCACTTTTATTTTGCCTATTGTGGTCTAATTTTATTCAATGTAGTTTTGTATACTAATTTATCCAGTCTTATTTCAAAAGTTTTGTCATGTGAGGATCCATTTAAAGCAGACAAAAACTGTTTGATATTTTTTGTTACAAAATAGAAGCAGTACCTTGTTATTCTTGAGTATCTTTATATTCATTTATTTGATTACTTTCAAATTCATGCATAAAATTATTGTGATAATTTAAATCATGTCCTTCATTTGTCAGAATCCCAATGGATTTACAGTTGCTTTATGGATTATAAAACATTGTATTTGTAAATTTTGTACCTTCTTAATTGTGATTGAAAATACATTTATGTAGTGAAATAACTTCAGAAAACAAAAACTAGGAATTTAGCTAAAATTGTATGGCCCAGATGTTTTAGGGGACTCAATAATATAGCATCTGAAATCTTAGTATCCTTAAGAAATGGAGCAAGTAAAGTGAAACCATTCAGATAAAAAATATTATAAAAGTTAGCATTAGTTACATAGAATGAAGAAGTGGAATATTCAATTTTGCCAGAAAATCCAGTTTTTTAAAAAATGTAAAATTTATTCCTTATGATTTAAGGAAGAATTTAATACATTAGAAAATCTTATTTGATATCTGTTGGATCTCTGAAAGAATGTTGTAAAAAGTGGAACATCATATTTACCTGTGCTGGTACTACAGAATATCAGAGGGCTCTTTAATTCATTTGATTTGTTCTTGTCCATCCACAATTCTGTTTTGGTTCAAAGTCATGGCAACTGTTACCACAAGTTTGATTATATAATAAGGACATAAATGTAACATTAAATTATATTTCTAAAATATGGAATTTGTAATTTTATTAAGAGCTTTAGTTTTTTAGGTAAATGTAAAGAAAATTATTGTTCTGATAAGGAATGGATTCAAGATATTTGTATGTTATATATTTTTCAAAAACCATATTCTAAAAATTGAAAGATAAAGCAGTATATTTCTATATAATTTAGTTTTAATGAGAAGCTTAAGGATTGAACTATTGATTAACCCAATCACCACGTTGCCTTCCAAATATTTAAATGTGAAACTGGAAAACCAATAAAATATTATTTAAAAAAAGAAATTTAAAGATTCAATTAATATCATACTAGTACAAATGGATATTATGTAGATTTTTTTAATTAGTTCTTTTTTCTTCCTTTCTGTTACGTTTAATTAATACAACATATGTAGGTTTTTATTGTATTTATTTTTTTATTGGTGATATTGCTATTGTACTTGTTAGTATTTCGCTATAACTAAAAACATTTTAAAAATACTTCTTTTTTTAGTATGATGGTTCTGAAATTCTGTTACTTTGTCTATAATGTTATGGAGGGGGGGTTTCCAGGTAGCAAATTCTTGGCAATACCTTCTCCATAGAAAATAGATTTTCTTCCAGAGTCCTTTTACCTGAACTTTTTTAAAAAATAGAATCAGATTACTGAACTGTTTTCCCTTTTTAGAATCACCTCCCAGATTTTTAAAAGAGACTTTCTCAATTTCTTATTCATAAGACATGCTTGATTAGTATGAAGACTAATTAATTAATCATTGATAACAAAAGAATGCCCAGCTAAAGATACATTTCCTTATTTTATGGTTAAAGTTATCACTCCTACAATATCACTATTTTTAAATGCAGGATGATAATGTCTGTTATCATTGGACCCTAAACTCTTTATTTTTCATAAAGATTGTCAAAGGGATTTTATTTCAAACCTTTAGTCACTAAAGTATTTGGTATTCATGGTTTTGTGATTGTTTCTAACTAAACACATAGAAATATTCATTTTGTATTGGCTTGTCTATGTATGCTGTCTGACGTTACGTAGATTGAAGCAGTTTATTGTTAATAAATAATATTTAACCTAGTATTAGTAGTTGGACTTTGTTTTGTCTTAATATTAAGC